TGGGTTGTCACGAAGTCTCTTCTCTCCAGATGTGTTACTAGTTTTTTCTCACAATCTTCTCCATCACCTTGCATGGTATACAAGTTAAGGACACTGGCCTGTAGTTCAGTGCATCTTGTCTGTCCCCATTTTTGCTCCTGCACACTCTTTCAATACCCATGGCGAGATTCCGTCCGGCCCAACAGCTTTTCTCACATCCAGCTCCAATAGGTGCTTTTTGACCTCATTTCTTGTAATTTCGAAACTATCCAAGGTCACCAGGTTTGCTGCCACCTCTTCTAGCGCCGTGACATCTCCCTGTTCTATTGTAAAGACCTCCTGGAACCTTTTGTTGAGTTCTTCACACACCTCTTTGTCATTCTCTGTGTACCTGTCCTCGCCCACCCTAAGTTTCATTTGTGTGTGTGTGTGTGTGTGTGTGTGTGTGTGTACTCACCTATATGTACTCACCTATATGTGCTTGCAGGATCGAGCATTGACTCTTGGATCCCGCCTTTCTAGCTATCGGTTGTTTACAGCAATGACTCCTGTCCCATTTCCCTATCATACCTAGTTTTAAAAGTATGAATAGTATTTGCTTCCACAACCTGTTCCCCAAGTGCATTCCATTTTTCTACTACTCTCACGCTAAAAGAAAACTTCCTAACATCTCTGTGACTCATCTGAGTTTCCAGTTTCCACCCATGTCCCCTCGTTCTGTTATTATTACGTGTGAACATTTCATCTATTTCCACTTTGTCAATTCCCCTGAGTATTTTATATGTCCCTATCATATCTCCTCTCTCCCTTCTTTTCTCTAGTGTCGTAAGGTTCAGTTCCTTCAGCCGCTCTTCATATCCCATCCCTCGTAGCTCTGGGACAAGCCTCGTCGCAAACCTCTGAACCTTCTCCAGTTTCTTTATGTGTTTCTTCAGGTGGGGGCTCCATGATGGCGCGGCATACTCTAAGACGGGTCTCACGTAGGCAGTGTAAAGCGCCCTAAAAGCTTCCTCATTTAGGTTTCTGAATGAAGTTCTAATTTTCGCCAGTGTAGAGTACGCTGCTGTCGTTATCCTATTTATATGTGCCTCAGGAGTTAGATTAGGTGTCACATCCACTCTCAGGTCTCTTTCTCGAATCGTTACAGGTAGGCTGTTCCCCTTCATTGTGTACTGTCCCTTTGGTCTCCTGTCACCTGATCCCATTTCCATAACTTTACATTTACTGGTGTTAAACTCCAGTAGCTCTGTAAACTCCAGTAAACTCTCTGTGTGTGTGTGTGTGTGTGTGTGTGTGTGTGTGTGTGTGTGTGTGTGTGTGTGTGTGTGTGTGTGTGTGTGTGTGTGTGTGTGTGTGTGTGTGTGTGTGTGTGTGTGTGTGTGTGTGTGTGTGTGGGTGTGTGTGTGTGTGTGTATGCGTGAGTGTGTGTGTGTGTATGCGTGAGTGTGTGTGTATGTGTGCGTGTGTGTGCTTGTGTGAACGCGCGCGAGTGTGTGCGAGCATGCAAGCTCTCCCCTAACGACTGCATCGTTAGCACTCCAACTCAACTCAAACTCCAAATTCCTTCAACAACGCAATAACCGATTCCCGCCAGTGTCAGCCTTTCCCTGACGACCTCAGAGTTCCGGGAACACCACCCTCACTTTCTTGTGAGAAAATCCCTTGTTACTGAATAGTTTTAGAATCTTCAAGGCCCTCAGGTTCATACTGAAACCCGTAGAAATCTTGAGGTTATCTTGAGATGATTTCGGGGCTTTTTAGTGTCCCCGCGGCCCGGTCCTCGACCAGGCCTCTACCCCCCAGGAAGCAACCCGTGACAGCTGACTAACACCCAGGTACCTATTTTACTGCTAGGTAACAGGGGCATAAGGTGAAAGAAACTTTGCCCATTGTTTCTCGCCGGCGCCGGGAATTGAACCCGGGACCACAGGATCACAAGTCGAGCGTGCTGTCCGCTCTGCCATTAGATTTATATAGTGATTGGATCCTATGTAATAGCTTTATCAGAATTGGAAGTACGTTAGTAGGTGTCTGCTGGAACACCGTCCAGGTGTCTGCTGGAACACCATCCAGGTGTCTGCTGGAACACCATACAGGTGTCTGCTGGAACACCATCCAGGTGTCTGCTGGAACACCATCCAGGTGTCTGCTGGAACACCATCCAGGTGTCTGCTGGAACCCCATCCAGGTGTCTGCTGGAATACCATCCAGGTGTCTGCTGGAACTCCATCCAGGTGTCTGCTGGAACAACATCCAGGTGTCTGCTGGAATACCATCCAGGTGTCTGCTGGAACCCCATCCAGGTGTCTGCTGGAATACCATCCAGGTGTCTGCTGGAACTCCATCCAGGTGTCTGCTGGAACAACATCCAGGTGTCTGCTGGAATACCATCCAGGTGTCTGCTGGAACAACATCCAGGTGTCTGCTGGAACACCACCAAGGTGTCTGCTGGAACAACATCCAGGTGTCTGCTGGAATACCATCCAGGTGTCTGCTGGAACAACATCCAGGTGTCTGCTGGAACACCACCCAAATGTCTGCTGGAAGACACTCCGAGGTGAAAAGGTCTGCGGCCTGTTGATCTGCAGGAGGGCTGTCTGCGGCCTGTTGATCTGCTCGAGGGTTGTCTGCGGTCGATATATGCTCTGTTCCACCCCTCCCCCCCGTGGTCCCCACCGTCTGCTTAATTACAGACTCTAGAGCACTCTAGGGAAGAGTGGTAATGGAGCAGGGGGAGGAACTTTAGAGACCCTGTGGTACTCTTTGTGAGTCCTTTAGAAGCATTTTGGACGCTCTGTTGCAATGTCTGCTTGCAACAATGTCTGCTTGCAACAATGTCTGCTTGCAACAATGTATACTTGCAACCATGTCTGCTTGCAACCATGTCTGCTTGCAACAATGTCTGCTTGCAACCATGTATGCTTGCAACCATGTCTGCTTGCAACCATGTCTGCTTGCAACAATATCTGCTTGCAACCATGTCTGCTTGCAACAATGTCTGCTTGCAACAATGTCTGCTTGCAACCATGTCTGCTTGCAACCATGTCTGCTTGCAACAATGTCTGCTTGCAACCATGTATGCTTGCAACAATGTATGCTTGCAACAATGTCTGCTTGCAACCATGTCTGCTTGCAACAATGTATGCTTGCAACAATGTATGTTTGCAACCATGCCTGCTTGCAACAATGTCTGCTTGCAACAATGTATGCGTGTAACAATGTCTGCTTGCAACAATGTATGCGTGTAACAATGTCTGCTTGCAACAATGTGTGCTTGCAACCATGTATACTTGCAACAATGTCTGCTTGCAACAATGTCTGCTTGCAACAATGTATGCGTGTAACAATGTATGCGTGTAACAATGTCTGCTTGCAACAATGTGTGCTTGCAACCATGTATACTTGCAACAATGTCTGCTTGCAACAATGTCTGCTTGCAACAATGTATGCTTGTAGCAATGTCTGCTTGCAACCTGTTGAACCGTCTGTTGATTGATATACTGCTTGCGGTCAAGAGAGGCTTATGCGTATTTGGGTCTCACTAGAACTGCAAGTCTTGTGTACATTGCTAACAACACCGTTTAGTACACTGTCCTCATAACTCCGTCCTCATCAACAGAGGCCAATTGCTCATTAATCCACCCGCCAAACACCAGCTGTTTATGAGTGAAAAACAGTTTACACACGACTCACAACTGATGCCGTCCGAACACTTCCGGAACAAGTGCTTCACTCATGACCTCTGTTCGAACCACAACGCTGTAAATGCTTCACTCACGTACTACAAATACAAATAATCGCCAACAGAACCTAAGCACCTAACCTAACCTAACCTAACCTAACCTAACCTAACCAAACCTAACCTAACCTAACCTAACCTAACCTAACCAAACCTAACCTAACCTAACCTAACCTAACCTAACCTAACCTAACCTAACCTAACCTAACCTAACCAAACCTAACCAAACCTAACCTAACCTAACCTAACCAAACCTAACCTAACCTAACCTAACCTAACCTAACCTAACCTAACCTAACCTAACCTAACCTAACCTAACCTAACCTAACCTAACCTAACCTAACCTAACCTAACCTAACCTAACCTAACCTAACCTAACCTAACCTAACCTAACCTAACCTAACCTAACCTAACCTAACCTAACCTAACCTAACCTAACCTAACCTAACCTAACCTAACCTAACCTAACCTAACCTAACCTAACCTAACCTAACCTAACCTAACCTAACCTAACCTAACCTAACCTAACCTAACCTAACCACCACACCGCAGGACAATAGAAAACAAAATACAGTAACAAGATAATATGGCAAAGAGCAATACAGAACAATGCAGAAAAAAACACAGAAAACATATCAATAAAAAAGCACAGGACACACACAGAAAATAACAATACAGTATGTTGACCAGACCACACACTAGACAATCGACTTGAGAATGGTCCAGGACGGACCGAAACGTCGTCGTCCCTTCAATTTCTAGTGTGTGGTCTGGTCAACATACTTCAGCCACGTTATTGTGACTCATCGCCTGCATATGAACAATACAGTAAGAAGCAAAGAAACAGCCCGAAGGGCCTCAGCAAAACACAAATAAACGCACCAATAGTACACGAACACACAAACGAACCGGAACAGACCCACGCGGGAAAATAGAGCAACACACACACACACACATCAGAGTAAACACCAAGGAAATCAGAGCAAACGAGTAAAACAAAACATAAACACATGCATAAAAAACCCTACGGACTAATGATTACTTATCCGGATACTCAGATACCGGGAACCATATACAATTCGCCTCCCAACGCAACCGGGTGTACTCTGAGATCTGAACACCGGGAGCCGCATATGGCAGAGGCACAGAGTCCAGCACACCCCTGATAAAACACTGTCCTCGCGGAACCCAAACGCAAGTAGGTTCCCACGGAACCGGGAGCACGCGATCAACAACATCAAAATGCACATTGGTAAAATCACACACTTCCCCGGAGGCCAAGATGATGGGAAAGGCCTTAGCCCTAGGGGGCCAGGCACAAGACGGCGCACTCAGAGGCACACCGGGGGGCGCACAGGGCTGTGCACCAGCGCGTTCACTAAGACCCACCTCGGGCGCCACACAGGCCTCCTCACTACCCACGGGACGATGCGCCCGCTGGGACCCCCCGACGGCGGGCATCCGTCTTCAGCACCATGACGATGCCACGGCCAGCACCAACAGCATCGACAGCAGGAGCAACCACCTCCCACTGCGGAGAGCCGCCCGCCGGAGGCAGAACCAAAGGCACGTCAGAGATACGGGCACCGACATGACCAGCAACATCAGGCACATGGACCTCCGCCACCACCAACTGCGTAGAGTGCGAGGCACCCGGAACCACCCCATCGACACCCGAAGACTCGCAGTCATTGAAGTCACCCACATCCGCCCAGGCAGAAGACGAACGTCGGGAACGTTTGGGCTCCGGCCGTACATCATCAGAGCCGGAAGCGGACCCAGAAACACAGGCCCCACAAGCCAGGCAGACTAACGCACGACGCAAGACGGCAGCAGCTTCCACCACAGGGGGAACCGGGCCGCATACAGCAGGAGGCGTCGCTGCCACCCTATCATCCAGCACAGTCGGAACACAAGGCAAGGGCGCAAGGCCAGGCGCAGTAGCAGGAGACGAGGAAGTGGAGGGCGCCGACGACGCACAGAGATCGCCCAGAAGGTCCACAGGAGCAGCGGGGACAGCGACAGGAGCAGGAAGATCATTCGACGGCACGACACCTCCCGGAGGAGGTTCCGCAACAACCGAAAGAATGTCGGGCGACGCAGGAGGAGCCGCATCAGCTAACTGGACGCTCACCTCCTCACCCCCGGAGTCCTCCTACAGAGGGAGCGGCTGGAAATCCTCTTCCTGGAACAAGTTGAAGGGAGCAACCGGAGCCCCAGTGCACCCGGCAGCCTGATGCCCCAACAGGTCACACCGGAAACACGTACGGGGTTGCCGGGCATAGTACACCCTGACGTAGTACCCCATAAGCCGGTCAGAAGATGGTATATCCGACCGCATGCGCATCCCCAGGATACGAATGTTCGTCCGCATACCCGCATACCTCCCTGAGGAGAGCGTGTTCATCTGTACACTGACGACAGCTCCAAACCTCTGGAAGTAACGTCTGAGTAGGTCTTCTGGAAACTCCAGGGGCGCCCCATGCACACTGACATATGTCAGGGCACCACTACGGTCCGAAATAGACACAGAGCCAGCACCACCCGGCATCGGCAACGAACGCCCCTCGTAACGTCGGAGGAAGTCACGGTATTCCTCCTCTCCCTCGAGCTTAAGAATAACCCGGTGAGCAGTTACAAGCTCAACACCGTAGAGGGCAGTCACCGGGACACGGAGCATGTCACACATAACAATATCGACTTCCAGGTAACCAGCACGGCCAGTGAACTCCAGGCCCACGGAGTTCACTCTCACAACAGGGGAAAGATGGCCTCCCATCGCAAGCTCGTCACGTCAACACGTAGCCAGGCAGCAACAGCAGGGAGGGCAGAGACGCCCACACCACCTGGCGACCAAAGCGGCAAACATCCCCAACGACCAGGGTGGGTAAGCAATACGTCTAAACTCCACGTCTGCCAGGGCGCAACCTGACCAGACAAGTCATACACAGTATACTTAGTGCATTCAAATTGATAAATGCACGTTTCGGGTCGGTCGCTGATTGGCACGTATGGCTTGCCAGGTTGAATATCGACTTCAAAAACGCGTCACCTGGTTCGAATGCTGATGAAGAAAGAGTTTCCACTCCCGGGTCCAACCACTTGGGCTGGACGATAGAGCGACGGTCTCTTTTCAAGTAGGTCGGCGTTCAATCCCCCGACCGTCCACAAGTTGTTGGCTACCATTCCTTCCCCCCGTCCCATCCCAAATCCTTATATACTGACCTTTTCCCAGTGCTGTATAGCCGTAATGGCTTGGTGCTTTCCCCTTAATAAATCCCTCCTTCCCAGATCCCACACATGTGAACGGCTCTCTGTGATTGGCTTATCCGGATGAAGTCACTGCCCCCCCCCCCCAAAAGTTAACTACCACATTGTTAACAAACCCATTTTGAGCACCAATGGGCGTGATTATGAGAGCGAGAAAAGCCAAATAATATTGAAGAAGTGTGTGAGAGCTGCTTGCTTGCTGAGAACAGTCTTGATGCAACAGGAATCTGGCTGCTTCCTGTGGCAGCTCTTGTTGCTCATGTTGCTCTTGAGGGACGGTGTTGCAGGAAGGGTAGGTGTGAGGTATGAGGGAGCGTGTGGTAGAGAGGCTACGTGTGGTAGCAACAGAGGCAGTAGCAGCAGAGGCAGTAGCAGCAGAGGCAGTAGCAACAGAGGCAGTACCAGCAGAGGCAGTAGCAGCAGAGGCAGTAGCAACAGAGGCAGTAGCAGCAGAGGCAGTAGCAACAGAGGCAGTAGCAGCAGAGGCAGTAGCAACAGAGGCAGTAGCAGCAAAGGCAGTAGCAGCAGAGGCAGTAGCAACACAGGCAGTAGCAACACAGGCAGTAGCAACAGAGGCAGTAGCAGCAGAGGCAGTAGCAGCAGAGGCAGTACCAGCAGAGGCAGTAGCAACAGAGACAGTAGCAGCAGAGGCAGTAGCAACAGAGGCAGTAGCAGCAGAGGCAGTAGCAGCAGAGGCAGTAGCAACAGAGGCAGTAGCAGCAGAGGCAGTCGCAGCAGAGGCAGTAGCAACAGAGGCAGTAGCAACAGAGGCAGTAGCAACAGAGGCAGTAGCAACAGAGGCAGTAGCAACAGACGCAGTAGCAATAGAGGCAGTAGTAACAGAGGCAGTAGCAGCAGAGGCAGTAGCAACAGAGGCAGTAGCAGCAGAGACAGTAGCAAAAGAGGCAGTAGCAACAGAGGCAGTAGCAGTAGAGGCAGTAGCAGCAGAGGCAGTAGCAACAGAGGCAGCAGCAACAGAGGCAGTAGCAGCAGAGGCAGTAGCAGCAGAGGCAGTAACAGCAGAGGCAGAAGCAACAGAGGCAGTAGCAACAGAGGCAGTAGCATTAGAGGCAGTAGCAACAGAGGCAGTAGCAACAGAGGCAGTAGCAACAGAGGCAGTAGCAACAGAGACAGTAGCAGTAGAGGCAGTAGCAACAGAGGCAGTAGCAACAGAGGCAGTAGCAACAGAGACAGTAGCAGTAGAGGCAGTAGCAACAGAGGCAGTAGCAACAGAGGCAGTAGCATTAGAGGCAGTAGCAGCAGAGGCAGTAGCAACAGAGGCATTACCAGCAGAGGCAGTAGCAGCAGAGGCAGTAGCAACAGAGGCAGTAGCAACAGAGGCAGTACCAGCAGAGGCAGTAGCAGCAGAAGCAGTAGCAGCAGAGGGAGTAGCAACAGAGGCAGTAGCAACAGAGGCAGTAGCAACAGAGGCAGTAGCAACAGAGGCAGTAGCAACAGAGACAGTAGCAACAGAGGCAGTAGCAACAGAGGCAGTAGCAGTAGAGGCAGTAGCAGCAGAGGCAGTAGCAACAGAGGCAGCAGCAACAGAGGCAGTAGCAGCAGAGGCAGTAGCAACAGAGGCAGTAACAGCAGAGGCAGAAGCAACAGAGGCAGTAGCAACAGAGGCAGTAGCATTAGAGGCAGTAGCAACAGAGGCAGTAGCAACAGAGGCAGTAGCAACAGAGGCAGTAGCAACAGAGACAGTAGCAGTAGAGGCAGTAGCAACAGAGGCAGTAGCAACAGAGGCAGTAGCAGTAGAGGCAGTAGCAACAGAGGCAGTAGCAACAGAGGCAGTAGCAACAGAGACAGTAGCAGTAGAGGCAGTAGCAACAGAGGCAGTAGCAACAGAGGCATTACCAGCAGAGGCAGTAGCAGCAGAGGCAGTAGCAACAGAGGCAGTAGCAACAGAGGCAGTACCAGCAGAGGCACTACCAGCAGAGGCAGTAGCAGCAGAGGCAGTAGCAGCAGAGGGAGTAGCAACAGAGGCAGTAGCAACAGAGGCAGTAGCAACAGAGGCAGTAGCAACAGAGGCAGTAGCAACAGAGACAGTAGCAACAGAGGCAGTAGCAACAGAGGCAGTAGCAGCAGAAGGAGTAGCAACTCTGCTGCTACTCCCTAGCAGCAGAGTGCTACTCCCTAGTGGCAGTAGCAGCAGAGGCAGTAGCAACAGAGGCAGTAGCAACAGAGGCAGTAGCAACAGAGACAGTAGCAGTAGAGGCAGTAGCAACAGAGGCAGTAGAGGCAGTAGCAACAGAGGCAATAGCAACAGAGGCAGTAGCAACAGAGACAGTAGCAGTAGAGGCAGTAGCAACAGAGGCAGTAGCAACAGAGGCAGTAGCAGTAGAGGCTGTAGCAACAGAGGCATTACCAGCAGAGGCAGTAGCAGCAGAGGCAGTAGCAACAGAGGCAGTAGCAACAGAGGCAGTAGCAACAGAGGCAGTACCACCAGAGGCAGCAGCAACAGAGGCAGTACCAGCAGAGGCAGAAGCAGCAGAGGCAGTAGCAGCAGAGGGAGTAGCAACAGAGGCAGTAGCAACAGAGGCAGTAGCAGCAGAGGCAGTAGCAGCAGAGGCAGTAGCAGCAGTGGCAGTAGCAGTAGTGGCAGTAGCAGCAGAGGCAGTAGCAGCAGTGGCAGTAGCAGCAGAGGCAGTAGCAGCAGAGGCAGTAGCAGCAGGGGCAGTAGTATCAGAGGCAGTAGCAGCAGAGGCAGTAGCAGCAGAGGCAGTAGCAGCAGAGGCAGTAGCAGCAGAGGCAGTAGCAGCAGGGGCAGTAGTATCAGAGGCAGTAGCAGCAGAGGCAGTAGCAGCAGAGGCAGTAGCAGCAGAGGCAGTAGCAGCAGTGGCAGTAGTAGCAGAGGCAGTAGCAGCAGTGGCAGTAGTATCAGAGGCAGTAGCAGCAGAGGCAGTAGCAGCAGAGGCAGTAGCAGCAGAGGCAGTAGCACTCTGACACAGACAGGTTACATAATATATATCAAAGCGACATAGCTTATTGACTGGTCTATTTTGGGCACCCTCGAGGTGAGAGAGAGAGAGAGAGAGAGAGAGAGAGAGAGAGAGAGAGAGAGAGGAGAGAGAGAGAGAGAGAGAGAGAGAGAGAGAGAGAGAGAGAGGAGAGAGAGAGAGGAGAGAGAGAGAGAGAGAGAGATAGAGAGAGAAGAGATAGAGAGAGAGAGAGAGAGAGAGAGAGAGAGGAGAGAGAGGAGAGAGAGAGAGAGAGAGAGAAGAGAGAGAGAGAGAGAGAGAGAGAGAGAGAGATATGCAGAGCAGGATAGAAACTGAAAAAGTAAGAGAAAGAGTCGAAGGAAACAGAAGAGAAGAAAACGTAGAACAGAGAGTAGGAATGGAAGAGAGAAGACAATACATTATGAAAGAGAAATGGATGAAACTCTTATAAATAAAGTGAAAGGGAAGGAGAAGAGCGCAAACAAAGGAAAGTATTTTGGCTGAAGTCTGTTTAGG